TTGATCTTGCTCCTCTAGCTCTTTCAGTTTTGACGATAGGGTGTCAATTTTTGATCTCTCCTTGCTTCTCATGTGGGCACTTATTGCTATATATTTTCCTCTAGAGACTGCTTTAAATGTGTCCCAGAGATTCTGGTATATTTTGTCTTCATTCTCGTTGGTTTCGAAGAACATCTTTATTTCTGTCTTCATTTCATTGTTTATCCAGTCAACATTCAAGAGCAAGTTGTTCAGTTTCCATGAAGCTGTGCGGTTCTGGGTTAGTTTTTGAATTCTGAGTTCTAACTTGATTGCACTGTGGTCTGAGAGACTGTTTGTTATGATTTCCGTTCTTTTGCATTTGCTGAGGAGTGATTTACTCCCAATTATGTGGTCAATTTTAGAGTAGGTGTGATGTGGTGCTGAGAAGAATGTATATTCTGTGGATTCGGGGTGGTGAGTTCTGTAAATGTCTATTAGGTTTGCTTGGTCCAGGTCTGAGTTCAAGTCCTGGATATTCTTGTTAATTTTCTGTCTAGTTGATCTGTCTAATATTGAAAATGGGGTGTTAAAGTCTCCCACTATTATTGTGTGGGAGTCTAAGTCTCTTTGTAAGTCATTAAGAACTTGCCTTATGTATCTGGGTGCTCCTGTATTGGGTGCGTATATATTTAGGATCGTTAGCTCTTCTTGTTGCATTGATCCTTTTACCATTATGTAATGTCCCTCTTTGTCTCTTATGATCTTTGTTGCTTTAAAGTCTAATTTATCAGAGATGAGAATTGCAACTCCTGCTTTATTTTCCTCTCCATTTGCTTGGTAAATCTTCCTCCATCCCTTTATTTTGAGCCTTTGTGTATCCTTGCATGTGAGATGGGTTTCCTGGGTACAGCACACTGATGGGTTTTGGCTTTTTATCCAATTTGCCAGTCTGTGTCTTTTGATTGGGGCATTTAGTCCATTTACATTTAGGGTTAATATTGTTATGTGTGAATTTGATACTGCCATTTTGGTGCTAGCTGGTTGTTTTGCCCTTTAGTTGAGCTAGTACTTGTTGTTCCTTTGTAGGTGTAGAGCCTCTTTCAGGAGCTCTTGCAGAGCTGGCCTGGTGGTGACGAAATCTCTGAGTACTTGCATGTTCACAAAGGATTTTATTTTTCCTTCACTTATGAAGCTTAGTTTGGCTGGATAGGAGATTCTGGGTTGAAAGTTCTTTTCTTTAAGGATGTTGAATATTGGCCCCATTCTCTTCTGGCTTGTAGGGTTTCTGCTGAGAGATGTGCTGTGAGTCTGATGGGCTTCCTTTGGTGGGTAACCCGACCTTTCTCTCTGGCTGCCCTTAGTATTTTCTCCTTCATTTCAACCCTGGTGAATCTGACAATTATGTGCCTTGGGGTTGCTCTTCTTGACGAATGTCTTTGTGGTGTTCTCTGTATTTCCTGGACTTGAATGTTTGCCTGCCTTGCTAGGTTGGGGAAGTTTTCCTGTATAATATCCTGAAGAGCATTTTCCAGCTTGGATTCATTATCTTCGTCGCATTCAGGTACGCCTCTCAAACGTAGATTAGGTCTTTTCACATAGTCCCGCATTTCTTGGAGATTTTGTTCATTCCTTTTTACCCTTTTTTCTCCAGTCTTGCCTTCCCGTTTTATTTCATTGAGTTGATCTTCGACCTCTGATATCCTTTCTTCTGCTTGGTCAACTCGGCTGTTGATACTTGTGCATGCTTCACGAAGTTCTCGTGTTGCGTTTTTCAGCTCCATCAATTCACTTATATTCCTTTCTATTTTGTCCATTCTCATTAGCATTTCGTCAAATTGTTTTTCAAGGTTCTTAGTTTCTTTGCATTTGGTTAGAACATGTTCTTTAAGTTCACAGAAGTTTCTTACTACCCACTTTCTGAAGTCTGATTCTGTCATTTAATCACACTCGTCCTCCACCCAACCTTCTTCCCTTTCTGGTGAGGAGTTGTGATCCCTTGTAGGAGGAGAGGTGTTCTGGTTTCGGGTGTTTTCATCCTTTTTGCGCTGGTTACTTCCCATCTTTAAGGATTTATCCACCTGTCGACTTTGTAGTTGCTGGCTTTCAGATTGGGTCTCAAATCTTTCAGATTGACGTTCTGTTTGTTGATGATGAGGTTATTTCTGTTTCTTGGTTTTCCTTCTGACAGTCTGGCCCGTCTGCTGTAGGTCTGCTGAGGTCCGCTCCAGGACCTGCTTGCCTGGGGATCACCTGCAGCGGCTGCAGAACAGTAAAGGTTACTATCAGTTTTCTTCTTCTGCTATCTTTGTCCCAGATGGATACTCGCCAAGTGTCAATCTGATCTCTCCTTTATGATGTGGCTCTTTGGATATACAGGGCTCAGGGAGCTGCTTGAGGAGACGGTCTCTTCTTTATAGGAGCTCAAATGCTGAGCTGTGAGCTCCTTTGTTCATTCAGAGCTGCTGGGCAGGTACGTTTAGGTCTCATGCAGCAGAACTCATAAACTGATTTTTGTTCCCAGGTGATCTCTCCCAGGGAGTTATGGCTTCATTTATGAGTTTCCATTGTGCTGCTGCCTTCTTTTTTTTTTCCTTCAGAGCTGCCCTTCCCAGGAAGGAGGCAGCCTAGTCACTGTCTGCCTGTAGAGGCTTTGCTGAGCTGCTGTGGGCTCCGCCCAGCTGCCGAGTGAACTTCCCTGCAGTCCTGTTTATGTGGGTGTCGTTAGAACTGCCTTGGCAATGGTGGCCCACCTCTGTGTTGGAGGACTCTCTCTGTAATGGCGGGTTGCCTTGGCAACGTAGGGCTGCCTCAGCAATGACGGGTTGCCTTGGCAACGGCGGGCTGCCTCAGCATTGGCTGATTGCCTCCGTAGTGTTGGAGTGCCTCGGTAATGGCGGACGCCCATCCCCCACAGAATTGGATCCTCCCGGGCTTAGCTGTACTTGCTGTGAAACTCTCAATCTAGAGAGTTTCTGATTGCTGTCCTTTTGTGGGGATGGGACCAGCCGAGCCTGATCGCCTGACTCCCTGCCTCAGAGCCTTTTTTTTTTTCTTTTTTTTGTTGGTGTTCCAGTCGCCTGTTGAAGAGGCACCAGGATCTGTGTGTTTTCCCGTGCAGCGACTCGCTGTGCTGGCTTAAACAGCGACACTGAAATTCGTGGCGCTTTTTTTTGCCCTGGAATCTACTGTCCTGGTTCCCTGTTCAGTCCCCTTTTTAAACAGATGAATGGGTGACTTCCTGTGGCTCCCATCGCCAGCCAAAAAAGCACCCGGACCAGTGTATTTTGTACGGAGAACCACTGGGGTGAGGCGCTGACAAAGCAGCCACGCAGCGCAAAGCAGCCACTCTGGGTGACACAGCTGCGCTGGCCGAAACAGCCACACTGGCGACCTGTGGGGCTTCTCCACCTGGGAATCTCCTAGTCTGTGGTCAATAAAAATGCAGCGTCCACTCACCCTCTGCGCTTTCACTGGGAGCTGCAATCCTGAGCTGTTCCTAAACGGCCATCTTGGATCTGTTTTGGTTTTTTATGCTTATGCTTTATATCACCAATTTAATTGTAAGATCTGTGAGGAAAGAAAGTATGTCTTGTATTGATTTGTATTCTTCCTCCCCATCTTCCTCCTCTTTTTGCCTAGCACTTAGGGTTCTATCTCAACTATCTAAAGTTATTGATGTTCAGCAGGATGACAGATTGTCTCTTTTTTATGTGCTAAGGCAGTAAACTTATAAAATATAAGCTTTTCATAATTGGAAAATAGCATTCACATCCAAGAACTTTCAAAATCACATATTTAATTTTTATGACAATTCGTAGATTGAGAAATATATTTCTTTAATTGGTTTCTACTTGGTTGCATATCTAGGGCTAAGCTATTCTTTGGCTAGATGATTGCCGAGTTCACCATCATGAAGTAAAGTCAATGTCCGAAGATATTTTTACCAGCTTCTTGCTTGCCAGTGTACCTGTCTTATGACTCAGCCTGTGAACCAGGGCACTATTTAGAATATGAAATGTTATTATGGAAGAGATTTCATGAAGTTTATAGATTGTGTAGGCACTACAAAGAACTTTACAGTCTCATAGTGGCAAAGATGCCATTTTAACTATTGCTTATGCCTAGGCAATCTCAAGGAGAATTCAGAAAAAAAAAAAAAATGGGCTGGGTATTTGAAGTCTCTGTGGAAGAAAAATAAATGAAGCATTTAGGATGAGGCCTTAAAAATAACTTATAATACACTCTTGATGATAAAGAATGTTCGTTTACATCTAATCAGCAAGGCTTGATGGAAGCGTAGTAAAAGAGTGGGTTAACTTTGACAAGGGGTTAAAGTGACACAGTATCACTGATAGCACATAAGTTAAAGCACACCAGTCAAGTCAATGAAGACAATTTTAGTGAAGAAAACAAAACAATTTTAGAAAAGACCGCTTCACTCTTCATTGTAATAATTGCATTTACAGACAGGCAACCACATTATCTGGCCCAGGAGATTATGCATTTGTATGTTCTACACTCAGCTTTTATAAGCAACAATGCCAAGACTAACTTTTTAAAAATTTTAAGTTATGTCATAGTATCAGTACAGAGAATCCAGTCTCTAACATCTTCTACATCTGGCTGAGCAAGATTGTCCTTAAGGCCCCTTCTAGATTCTAGCTTTCTTAAAATCCTGTAAGTGATTACCAGTGTTCCTCATGATGACGCCAGGGCACTACAAATTTTTGAAGTGATTCCTAAATCCAGGGAAAGGTGATTCTCTCTTGTTCAGTATAGTTATAATATTCTTATGCTTTGAAAATCTGGGATCCTGAATGGAAAATATTACCAGTTTACCTGAATATTTACTTTATTGAAACACTTCATTCCCTGATCATTCTGGATCATTTACTTATAATCTTTGTAGGTGGATTTTTGTTTTTCTTAAAAGAAGGGGGAGCTTTTGGGGCCTAGATCTCAAGGGTTAGATCGTTGGCTGTTAAGACTCCCTTGGATTGCTTTTTGACTGTTGGCTGTAGCAACTTGTTTTCTTACAGAGATGAAGCATCTGGTTTTTGTTATCTCAATGATGCTGTCCTGGGAATATTACGATTGCGACGGAAATTTGAGCGTATTCTCTACGTGGATTTGGATCTGCACCATGGAGATGGTAAGCTCTTTGGTTTCAAATATGCTTTGCTGCTAGGACAGCAGGTTTTTATCTGCTATCTGCTTCTAGGCAACTGATAAAAGGAAAAATGTCTGCTGTAATTGAAATTTTCCTAATTGAAAATTTAAAGTAGGTCATGTAGTGATTCCTCTAACTGATGCAGTTGCTGCTTTGCTGCCTAAACCAGACTCCTGTAGTTTTCTCTCCTCTCTCCTCCTGTAGCAAACCTACAGAACTAATAGAGAATGTTAAGAAGTGTAACTCTTACCTAGTGTTTACTCCAGTGCTCAGTAATCTCCCTCAGGCCATTTCCATTGGTTCTAAGGGAATCTATAGTTAGAGATGACAGTCTTGTCTCTTTTATTGATGCTATTCTCAAGATTGAGTGGGTATATGGGCTAACATTCTGAATTTTTCACCAATAGGCTGCCAGCTCGTGTCGTAATCAGAATCTGTGTCATTTTCTTTGGATTGCTAAAATATCTAGTGCCACACAAACAGGACATATTCCCTAACGTTTAATAGCAGAATCTCATAACAGTTTGCCTTTACCTATTAATTATCTCTTAGAAGACTCCACTGACAGGACTTATCCGACCCTTCTATGTATTTTCCATCTAGAATGTAGAGCTCCAGTAACAGTTGCCACATTCTGTTTTTTTAAGAAATACTGTCTGGGACACATAGTATTTGCATTTATTTAAGAATACTTATCTCGTAAATTCTTAAAAATACTCCTCCCCCACATCAGTGATTGCTATTTCCCCATTTCCAGGGATTTTTTTTTTTTTTTTTTTGAGACAAAATAACATAATCACGGCACAGGGAGGAAAAGAATATTACATGTCAGAAGTTAGGGTCAGCTCTGCTGCCAAAACAGAGAAAGAAGGATGAAATTGTGGAGGCAACCTTTGCAGGGAGTTTCATCTGCATGGATGCTACCATGTGACAATGACAGAAAATTAAAGGTAACAGAGAGAAGTTAAAACACCAATATACTACTTTGAGAACCATTTTCACTGAATATCTGAATACTGAACCAGTGCAAAACATAGCCTTGCTCAGAAGACTTCAGAGACTCCTTATTGCTTATAACAAGGGGTAGTGTTTAACCTATGTCTTATTTTTGTATGGCCAGTTAGCTAAGAATGGTCAAGGATAGGTTTTCCAGCCAAGTGCAGTAGCTCACACCTGTGATCTCAATATTTTGGAAGGCTGAAGTGGGAGGACTGTTTGAAGCCATGAGTTTGAGACCAGCCTGGGCAACAAAGCGAAACCCCCATCTCAAAAAAAAAAATAGCTGGGTATGGTGTTGTGTGCTTATAGTCCTAGCTTCTCAGGAAGCTAAGGCAGAAGGATCACTTGAGCCCAGGAAGTCGAGGCTGAAGTGAATTATGATCGTGCCACTGCACTCCAGCTTGGGCAACAGAGCAAAGCACTGTCTCTTAAAAAAATTTAGAAAATGGTTTTTCCATTTTTAAAGGGTTGTAAAAAAGAAAAGATTTTTAAAAATGTGTCTGTGTGTGTATATATATGTGTGTGCGTGTGCAATAGAGACCTTGAGTAATTTGTAAAGCCAAAAATGTTTACTATTTAGCCAGTTAGTTTGTTGACACCTGGCCTAGAGCAATGGTTCTCAGACTTGAAAGTGTATCAGGATGACCTGGGGAAGTTTGTTTTAAAATGCACACTGCTGGGCCATATTCACCAGATATTCAGATTTAGTAGGTCTGACATGGAACCAAAGAAATTACGTTTTAACACCTCAGTTGTTCTGCAGGCCACACTTTGAAAAACAGTGGTCTTCAAGGTAAAGTTCACCCTCTTTACCCAGTCTTCCCAGGCCTACCTTGAATAGGCCTCACTTCATCTTTCCACCCTTATCTCTCATTACTTGCTGTCCAGGCTACACTACTCAAAGAGCATGTCTAACTCTTCATGACTGTTCCTAGACATGTCTCACTCTTTCTACCTCCCTGGCTCTGCCTCCTTTTTTCCTAATTTAGTTTTGTTTCACCTGTCCCAAGTTCTACCCATCTGTTCAAGTTCCAACAGTAGCAGACTTCCCCTGACCACTCCAACTCAAGTGTTCTCTCCCTCCTCTCAAGTCCTGTATTGTTCATATCACCAACTTGATATTTCATTACATATTGCCTTATATTTTTAATTAATTTTTTAAATGTGTCTGTGTCTTCTCTTCCCATAGAAACTAAATTCCTTCAGAGCAGAGATCAAGTTGTTTACTACTTCTTGTTTTATACAATGCATTGAACCAACAGTACTATGCATAAGTAGTGGCACATTAAAATATTTGATGAATGAATGATTACAAAATTCAAACTATTAGTATCAGAGTTTAACAATAGAATCAACTCTGTAGAACCATATAAGAACGAACCGAGACTGTCACCTGAAACTGTTCTTTCCATTTGCAATGTTATTTCTACACCCTTTAGAGTTTCCTGTTTTAGCCAACTTTTATGGTGTGTTTCATTTCAGTTTATTTCCCCTCTTCAGCACCTCCCTTCCAGTGACCCCTGCCCCACCCCCAAACTCTTATGCATTTGGTTTATTTTAAATCTCCTATGGTTACATAACTAGCATCCTGTGGTGGCTTCACTAGCCACCCCTACCCCATCCTTGCCTTCTTTCATCTACCTAACCACTCTCCTCTTTCCCACCAAGTCCATAGCTTTCTCCTATCTGTCTACATGTCCTTTTTAAGTATGATTTTATAACTATGCCTAGTGGTATTTCCCATGAGAAGAAATACAAATGGCCATTAAACTTATGAAAAGGTGCTCAACACTCTAATACTCAAAGAAAGACAAATTAGAGCAAGACCATTCTTTCTGCCTAAAATTAAAGAAAGTAACAATAGTTTGGGAACTCTCATACATGATTGGTCAAAGTATAAATTGGTACAACATTTCTGGATGGATCAATAATCAGGATTTTCATGAATTATCCTTGTTTAAGACTTCATTTCTAAGTTGAAATACTATTTTCATTTATTTTGTTTGTTTTATTTTGTTTACTTCATGCTTTTTGCCTAGAGCCTTTAACTGGTTTTAACTGACTCCCTAGGGCAAAACATAAGGCTTGGGAAATTCAAACATACCTGCAATATACAAATAGAGTTAATTTTTTTTTTAAGTTACTGTTGGCCTGTAATGAAGACTGAAAACATTAAGTAAATACAGAGACAATTTCTTTGTTTGAAGTAAGAAAGAGGACAGTACCTGAATTTGCTAATAGTCCTCCTGTTTAACAGATTGATGATCTGAATATAGTGTGACTATATGTGACTCTGAGAGGAAACGGGTAGAGGTGGGCAGTGTGTTTACCTGTTTAAGTAGAGGCTTGTGAGGATTACTTGAAATCCCAACTCTTCTCTCCCAGGCCTCTAACTGTTTACTAACTCAGTTAAAATGGAGAACAGACCCCTTTCTTGAAAAGTTTTTCCCCCATCTTTCTTCAGGCTTTAAAACACTGTTATAAGGCTGCTATTAGAAGACAAGGTCATAGCTGTTTTTAGCCAAAAAGGGTTATCACATTGTACATCTTTAGAAAAAAAATCCCAAGACTTTAACTATAACCACTTAAACGAAACAGAACGTAGAACTTGTAAGATGGTGCCAGTTTCGCTATTCAATTATGTTGATAATGCGTCAATTCTAGGCTCTCGCCTTTCCGTACCTTTTAGAACAGGTTGTCAAAGAAAGCCCAGATATCCCATTGCTTGGAAAGGGGAATTCTAGTTATAGTTTCCCATGGATTTGAAAAGTAACCCCCAAACTTCACTTGGGGCCAAAGTTCTACCTCATCTTGTAATTACAAGAATAGGGACCAGAGGTTCGTATTACTTTTATTCCTCAGCTTGTTGGTTTTATTATTTATGCCTTCTCATCTTCCCTCCTTCTCACAGCTACATTCTAGATTTTCAGAAGTTGAAAATAGGAATGCCATATGTGAAATGATTCTTTTGATGTTTCTTTATCTGGTAGGTGTAGAAGACGCCTTCAGTTTCACCTCCAAAGTCATGACTGTGTCCTTGCACAAATTCTCCCCTGGATTTTTCCCAGGCAAGTGATCATAAACTCAATATTACATTTGATGACTAAATACTGAAATTCTTCTATACATTTCTTATACTTGGATAGTTTCATGCTGTTAATACCTTATTGCTTAATAATACCTATTCTATGCAAAATTTTAACACAATTCACCTCAGGTGACAATAACACAAAAAATGGCAATAAAGTTGTTTCTTTTTCCAGGTGATTTTTATGGACTGTCAATAGATCACTTATGCTTACTATACTACTAGATACCCCGTGCACCTCCAAACATCCTGAATAATTACAGTGATAAATTGATATTATGTCAACCTAAAAAGCATGAAGCCAAGCAAAGGAATTAGTCTCTTACATTTTCATTTGATCCAGTAAGATGAAAACTAAGGTTTTTCAGTTTCCTTATGGTTTGCCTGCTTCTGCAAGATTGTTTACAATAGTTACTTCTTTATATTATTTTTCTTAATTTCTTTCCCTAGAAACTATCACTAATTTGGGATTGTTCTCCTAACTGACCTTTTCAGTCTTCTGAATTCCTAACAGGAAATCCTTTAAGTTTTCTGGGTTCTCATGTTCTTAATAACTGATCATAGTGCTCTTCTCTTTTATAGGAACAGGTGATGTGTCTGATGTTGGCCTGGGGAAGGGACGGTACTACAGCGTAAATGTGCCCATTCAGGATGGCATACAAGATGAAAAATATTACCAGATCTGTGAAAGGTATGACAGTAACACTGAGTCAATAATAAGTGGATTGTAGTTCTGTAGGATGAAATGGCCCCCATCTCACAATGTAAACAAGAACAATGTAAAAAAGAAAACAACTATATACCTATAAAGCTTTTGTATACTGGTCAGTATGCTTATTTGATCAGTAGCTATCTCCTGTATGAGAGAGCCAAGCAGTTGGACCAGAGCCATGCTCCAGGTTGGATCTTACCCACTTCTCAATATGATTAAGGCCTTCCCAAGAGCAGAGCTTTTAGGCTATCCTGAAGATTCCCTTGTTTGCTACTTTCTTAGCTAAAGAAACCTGTATGTATATTATTTCATTAACCTAGCAGAGTTCATTTCAATTGTCAGAGTTCATTATAGGGACCTGTGCTTTCTTCTAATTGACTATTATTATTTTTCATGCATTCTTATGTTCTGTCCCCTGTGTTAAAATTGAAGTCAGATACCTGTTCTTTCTACACTATGGCTAAGGATTAAATTACAGACAATCATAGGCGGACAGATTGGTGCCAATGTGTGGGCCACTGGAGTTGAAAAGCCCTATGGAATGGGGATACGGGGTTGTGCTAAACTCATATTCATAAAAATTGAGATTGTTCAGGCACAATTGGTGGCAGAGAAAGCAAATCTGACTAGAAGTCAGCCAGTCAACATTACTGAAGGTAAGTAATGGGGATGGAGGTACTCTTGATCTCTCCCCAGCTCAGCTCATATTTCTCCCAACCTCTGGTGAAGGTTCTTCCCAAAGGAGCCTGCCTGCACTGGCCATCATAACTGGCAGTTGTATAAACAAAGTGGTACTATTAAAAACTAAAAACTTTATGCTTCAAAAGTGCCTCTTAGCTCAAGAGATTTGGTGAGCCAAGTCATCATTCAGTCATTCAGCAGCATTAGCCTCTTCATAATTTTAATCATGTCTCCTGGCTACCTCTTTGTATTATCAAACTGAAAAAAACTTTTTTTTTTTGGAGCCTGCCACTGATGGTTTAATTGCCTTTCTTTGTTCCCCTTAAGCTCTCTGCTGTCCTTGAGATGTACAGATCAGAGCTGCTTATGTAACTTTACCAATAAAGATATCCTGCAGTTCTATGTAAAAGGAGAATTATTTTGTTTTTCTTTTAATCCCCTTCTTAGCAGTGCCCGATTTTGTTGCCTTTTTTTTTTTTTTTTTTTTTTTTTGCCGTAACAGGAAACTAAGTTGTTCTCTTCAGTGCACTATCCATAGTGTTTCCTGGAGCCCTTTGCTGGGTCTTAATTGAAAGGTCAGCACTCATCATCCTGCAAGCATAGTTTGCAATATCTAGTGCTCCCTAAATGGATCACCTTACATATGCTCCTATTGAAGCTTATCTGCTAATCATAAAACCTCCTGAGATCTTCCTTTATCTCCCATCAACTTGGTATTTCACTGCCTGGGAAAGCTGAGTATTATCTGCAGACTTGAGGATTTCCCGGTGCCTACCCCCAAGGAAGTCTACTATTTATCCTTCTTCAGTCAGAAAAAATATCTGTTTCTACCCTATATTTTCTTTTTTTTCTGTAGACCGGTTTCTATTACATGATAAAAAAAATATTTAAAGTTATTTTAAATCCCATGGTAATTCATGTTTTAAAATAGCTTTGGTATCAAACTTAATCAGAAGCATTTTTAAAGTAAGTTTAGCTCCAAGGAAAAGACCTGTAGAAGACTACACATGATTTCCCTTTACAAAAACCATGATGCCACCCACAACTCAATAGATTGATGGCTTTTGTGTACAGGAGGCTACGATTTATTAAAGATTCTTCCAGCTTGCCTACTAAAGAACCAGACACTTGTCAATTTATAGTTTCCAGGGCCCCTTTACCTGTGGAGCCACCTTGGCAATGCAAGCCACACAGTGATCATTGAGAATAACAGGTTCCAGGTTTTCATTAGAGCTATAATAATGTTTTTCCTTTGTTTTCCTTCAGAAGTCAAGTCTGGTCAGGGCATTATATGAAGGCACCTCTGATTCTAAGGGTGCCAAGAAAGCTTCCTGGTCCAAACATCTCTCCCATCTGTTGGATTAATACCTGAAATTCCTTTAATAGGAAACATACTTTTATTCTACAATTAGAAATAGTCCTTAAAATGAAATTTTGGCACAATCTCTCATCCTTGCCCCTGCTCTACAATAGAAGTATAGTTTCACAGCATCTTTTTTTGGGGGGTGTGTTGACAGTGTCTTCCCCTGTTGCCCAGGCTGGAGTGCAATGGCATGATCATGCTCACCACAGCCTTGAACTCCTGGGTTCAAGTGATCCTCTTGCCCCAGCCCCCCAAGTAGCTGAGACCAACAGGCATGCAATACCACATCTGGCTAATTTAAAAAAAAAAATTTAGTAGAGATGAGGTATAACTTCACAATACCATTTTTGACAGTGAATTGTAGTTCTGTAGGATGAAATGGCCCCCATCTCACAATGTAAACAATAACAGTGTACATCTCACAATGTAAATGAGAACGTGGTCAGAGCATGAGCTCACTGAGGAGCAGGAATTGCATAGTGGAGCAGTAGAGGGAAAGAGGTACCAAAAACCACAATGATTTTTGCCAAAAGTTTTGCACAGAGCCAGCCCTGGTAACTAGATCACTCAGTTCCAGGTATTATGCTTTTGAATACTTCTGGTAGGTGGCTTGGAAACAGTCTCTTACACATTTGCCACTATTACCTCTGACCCTTCTGCCTGCCTCAAAAGATATATTACACAGAGAACGGGTCCAAGATGGCCAAATAGGAACAGCTCTGGAGTACAGTTCCCAGAGAGAATGCAGAGGGTGAGTGATCACTGCATTTCCAAATGAGTTTTTACTGCCCACAGACTAGGAGATTCCCAGACAGAAGAGCACCACGAGTCTCCAGCATGGCTGTTTCAGCCAGTGCAGCGGGACTCCTCACAAAAACTCACACAAATCTGGATGGCCGTTTCAACTGGTGTCTGGAATGCCTGGGAGACAGAGTCACCCATTCCCCTGAAAAAAAGAGGGCTGAAATAGGGAGCCAGGTGATTTGGCTTGGCAGGTCCCACCCCTACAAAGACCAGCAATCTGAAACGCTCTGGATTGAGAGTTTCACAGCAAGCACAGCTGGACACAGGACAGACCAGCTCTGTCAGGAGAAGGGTGTCTGCCATTGCCGAGGCAGTCTGCCATTACGGAGGCAATCTGCCATTACCAAGGCAGTCTGCCATTACAGAGACAATTCGCCATTACTGATGCAGACCGCCATTACTGAGGCAGACTACCATTACTGAGGCAAACCACCATTACTGAGGGAGTTCTAACTATACCTCTATAAACAAAACCACAAGGAAGTTCACACAGCAGCTGAGCAGAGCCCACCACAGCTCAGCAACACCTCTGCTGGCAGACTGTGACTAGGCTACCTACTTGCTGGACAGGGCATGTCTGAAAAAAGGCAGCACCACATCAGGAACTTATAAATAAAGCCCCACCTTCCCAGGACAGAGCACCGGGGGGAAAAAGTGGTTATGAGTTCTGCTGCAGCAGACTTAAACATACCCACTCAGTAGCTCTGAATGGAACAACAGAGCTCACAGCTCAGCACTTGAGCTCCTATAAGGGATAGACTGTCTCCTCAAGCAGCTCCCTGGCCCCTGTATATCCAAAGAGACACCTAATAAAGGAGAGCTCAGGCTGATATCTGGCAGGTATCCTCCTGGGACAAAGATAACAGAGAAGAAACTGGCAACAACCCTTACTATTCTGCAGCTGCCGCAGGTGATCCCCAGACAGCCAGGAACTGGAGAGGACCTCCAGCAGTCCTACAGCAGAGGGGCCTGACTGTTAGAAGGAAAACTAAAAAACAGAAATAACTTCATCATCAACAAAAAGAATGTCCACTCGGAGACCCCATCCAAAAGTCACCAACTACAAACACCACAGGTAGATAAATCCACAAAGATGGGAAGAAACCAGTGCAAAAAGGATGACAACACCCAAAACCAGAATGCCTCTCCTCCTCCAAGGGATCACAACTCCTCACCAGCAAGGGAAGATGGCTGGAGAAAGAGTTTGATGAATTCACTGAAACATGCTTCAGAAAGTGGGTAATAACAAACTTCTCTGAGCTAAAAGAACATGTTCTATCTCAGTGCAAAGAAACTAAGAACCTTGAAAAAAGGTTTCACAAAATGCTAACAAGAATAAACATCTTAGAGAAGAATATAAATGAATTGATGGAGCTGAAAAACACAACACAAGAACTACGCGAAGACTACACAAGTTTCAGTAGCTGAATTGACCAAGCAGACAAAAGAATATCAGAGATTGAAGATCAATGCAATGAAATAAAATGAAAAGGCAAGATTAGAAAATAAAAATAAAAATAAATGAACAAAAGCCTCCAAGAAATATGGGATTATGTGAAAAGACCTAATCTATGTTTGATAGATGTAACTGAATGTGACGGAGAGAATGAATCCAAGTGGGAAAACACCCTTCAGGATATTATCCAGGAAAACTTCCCCAACCTAGCAGGCCAGGCCACCATTCAAGTCCAGGAAATACAGAGAACACTACAAAAATATTCCTCAAGAAGAGCAACCCCAAGGCGCATAATCATCAGATTCACCATGGTTGAAATAAAGGAAAAAATGCTAAGGGCAGCCAGAGAGAAAGGTCGGGTTACCCACAAAGGGAAGCCCATCAGACTCACAGTGGATCTCTTGGCAGAAACCCTATAAGCCAGAAGAGAGCGAGGGCCAATATTCAACATCCTTAAAGAAAAGAACTTTCAACCTAGAATTTCATATCCAGCCAAACTAAGCTTCATAAGCAAAGGAGAAATAAAATCCTTTAAGAACAAGCAATTGCTGAGAGATTTCATCACCACCAGGTCTGCCTTACAAGAGCTCCTGAAAGAAGCACTAAACATAGACAGGAACAACCAGTACCAGCCACTCCAAAAACATACCAAATGGTAAAGAGCATCGACACAAT